GGGCATGGTGGCTCATGCCTGTAATCCTAGCACTTTGAAAGGCCAAGGCAGGAGGATTACTTGAGCCCAGGAGTTTAAGACCAGCCTGGGCAACATAGTGAGATCTCATCTCTACAAAAAATGTAAAAATTAGCTGGGTATGGTGGTACATACCTATCATCCTAGCTACTTGGGAGACTGAGGCAAGAAGATTGCTTGAGCCTGGAAGTTCAAGGTTACAGTGAACTATGATCATGCCACTGCACTCCAGCCTGAGCAGCAGAGAGAGACCCTGTCACAAAACAAAACAAAACAAACAAATCTGCATAATGTTAATTTGCCCAATAGTTTTAAACAATGAAATTATTTAGTATATTTCATAGACTTCAATCTTGTTTTCTAATATTACTTAACTAGATTTAACACAATTAATGATGACTACAGATAGATTTTTACTTAGCTTTCCCTAGAGTTCTTGGCTTTTTCCTCTCAATATTTAATCCTTTATCATCAGTGTATAAAATGAAACACCTGAAGAGCTAAGTTTTAAGTCACCCTTAAAGCAATAAAAATCAGTGCAGTTATCACCTCTGTTTAATAACCCTCTTTGCTTCTCACTTTTTGTTAATATTAGAACCAAACTTTACTGTCTAATTAGTATCTAATGTTTTTACACAAGCATTCCCAGGAGAAGGCCTAGTGTGATTTGATCAATGATACTAGTATTTAATAAAACATGAAGTTTTTTTGTTATCATTTAGAGAGTTGTGCAATTCAATTTTTAAAAGTTGTAATTCTGGCTTGAGTTGGTGAACAAAAATTTATAAAGTTGTTATAAAATATTTTAGTTGGACGGGATCTTAGGGGATTAGTTACTCTCCACCAAGTGCAACAGTTCCTTTTGTAGCATCTCTGCTAGTAAGTGTCTTCACTTTGTTGGACCATTCATGGTGTTTATAGTCCTTGCCTTGAGAAGATCTTTTCCATTATGGGACAACTCTACATAATAGAAAATTTATTTACCTAAATCTTTCTCTCTACCTATAAGCTTTCATCCTATTCCACAAAGCTACATCAAATATTTATTTTAACATTTTATTATACCGTACACATGGTAATTATTTGTGATAGTATAAATAAGGGAAGACAGGTATATATATGTGGCTCCGTAAAAGAAAATGATGAGAATATAGTTAGGTTTTAGGAAAGCAAGAGAAGATAGGGGACTGTCCATCATTTTTCTCTCAATGTAGTGAGAGAAGAAAATTATCTGATTATGGACAAAATATACTTTTGGGGGCATCCACTTCTGATCCAGTTAGTCTAATGGAGGTAGAGGAGGCGATGGGGCATCTGAACCAAGGTATGCTAATGAAGAAAAACAGAAAATTAGTTTTAATGTATTTCACAGTAAGTATTGTAGAAGAAAATACAATGAGGGAAAGCATAAGTGGATTCATCTTAGATGCAGAACATTTCTAGAAACAACATTTAAGATTAGGCCACTTAAGGGAGCATTCTTTTTGTTGTGTATTTTTGTCTCTTTGGGGTCATTGGTGGAAAATGGTGAAGCAGCCTGTAAAGCAGGAAGTGCACATACTGTTGAGTAGTGTTCTGTGGGCAGAGTACTGAAATGGTGAGGGGTAAAAAGGAAGACTGGCTCTCTGAGGGGCAGGAAAAAAATGTACTGCACATTGCTGTTTTCTGATCTTCTTAATGGCCCCTTTCCTCTAGTTGTTATTTGATGATGATGGCTCAAAATTTCGTTGTTCTCTTCTCTTTAGCTAGAATGGGTACTAGGAAAAAAGTTCATGCATTTGTCCGTGTCAAACCCACCGATGACTTTGCTCATGACATGATCAAATATGGAGATGACAGCAAAGTAAGTGCAACATGTTTGCCTTCATCTGCCTGGGCTGCTCTCTGTCCCACCTCACTACAGTGTCACGCTGTTTCCATACAACCGTTTAAGGACCAAGACGGAATTGGTAAAAGTTCAAATGGATGCTAGAGTCCATCAAGTCCAAACCATTCCCTCACAATGCTGTTAATGAGGAAATTCATAAAATTCCCATCTTTAGTTGTCTTTTAATAATTTTACCTTTAATAAGTTAATGTTTACTTTTACCTTTATATCTGACACAGAAAAAGTGATATTTGTCCACACTAATAAAACTTTCTCGTGATTAGATCTGCTGTTATATAATCTCCCAGGGGTACAGTAAGAATATATTGAGTTTATTACTGTTAAACTTATCAAAGTAGTGGGGGAGACACTTATCAGAGAACTAGAGGCCAGGTACAGTGGCTCAGACCTGTAATCCCAGCCCTTTCGGAGGCCAAGGGGGGAGGATCACTTGAGCCCAGAGTTCGAGACCAGCCTTGACAATATAACAAGACCCCATCTCTACAAAAAAATAATTAATTAATCAAGCTTGGTGATGCACACCTGTAGTCCCAGCTACTCAGGAGGCTAAGGCAAGAGGATCACTTGATTCCAGTTTGAGGTTCCAGTGAGCTATAATTGGAACACTGCACTCCACCCTGGGCAACAGAGTGAGACCCTGTCTCTAAAAAAAAGAAAAGAGATCTGGAAAGATTTATCCATCCCTGTACCCTTACCACTGTCTTGAGAACCCTTCAGAAGCCTATGACAGGCTAAAGTGAGAGTGTTAGAAGTTTTCATTCAGTAAACATTTATGGGCCTGCTGTGGGCAGCACTGAGACATTCTTTAAAGGAAGAATTCAAAGGCAAACTGCTCAAGCTTTGAAGGTCTTAGCAGTTAAAAAAGGACTCAAATGTAGCCCTGTGAAATGTGCCCTGCTGGTCATGATTTCAGTGAACACAGAGGCACAGAGCACTTAATGCCTGAATGGATCAAGCCTGTCTTTCTTGGTCTTAATTTTTCTCTGTGTGGCCAGGTAGTGGCTGCTGGAGTAGGGCAGCTAGTATAAGATTTCAACAAGAGTCTTAACATCAGAAGTGCCTATTAAGAAGATTGGAATCTACCATTGACCTTACCCAGTATGTCCCTAAGCCAGCTGCTGCTACAATGGCTTGCTATGAAAGGACATGCTTTTAAAAATCTACTGATTACAAGTAGGTTGGACACCCTCGATTTACTCTAATTCCAGTGAGTAACTGTGCCTGAAAAGCCCACAGCCTTTCTGTGCCTATTTCATCATTACTCATGTTGGCCCATAGCGTGTGTGTGGAAGTAGGTGCTCACCACAATGCAAAGTTGAAAGAATCCTCACTGCCAGTAACCACAGATAAGGGCTTGAGCCTAGGCCTCCATCACCAAGCTCGCTGTTCCCTCTGGCCTAATTCAAATCCTCTCTATGCTTATTGAATGTATCTAAGTCTTATTTAATAAGAATGTGATAAATTTGAATGATCACATATCATAGATGGGGGAACCAAGACAGAGAACATCGTTGTAAACTAGGGTCTGAGGTACTGAAACTAGTTAAGTGCTCTAGTCTCCTGATCTTTTCACCCTAAGGGTCATGTGGCTGCCTTGCAGGAGCTCCCTTCTCCCATCCCAAAAAATTCATCCAGAATATCAGCCCATACATGGGAGACTCTGTTCATCTTAAAATGGTTTTTCTTACACCAGTTTCTTTACAAATAATCTCTCTCTGTCTCTCTCTCTCTCCCTCCCTGCCTCCCTACCTCTTTCCCTCTTTCCCTCTTTCTTTCCTAGAGCATTGATATTCACTTAAAAAAAGACACTCGGAGAGGAGTTGTCAATAACCAGCAGACAAACTGGTCATTCAAGCTGGATGGAGTTCTCCATGATGCCTCCCAGGACCTGGTTTATGAGACAGTTGCGAAGGATGTGGTTTCTCAGGCTCTCGATGGTTATAATGGTAATTTTGTTAATTAACAGTTATCTTACGTAAGAACCTGAAAAGCTCCTCCTGGGGGAAGAGGTACAAGTATTTTATGCTGAATAAAATAAAATATAACCTCACTTACTAACATTTGTATGCTTATTTGTCTGTCTCCATGTTCTTGTGGTACAGAATTTACTATTTGCTCGTTGACATTGTGAGCATGGCTTGAGCCTATGTCCTGGGATCCTACCTTCATAGGAAAATTAAAAGATCCTGGCTGTCTGTAGGTCACAGGCATTCTGTTCTGTTTCAGATCTCTCAAATCCTAGTTTTCAAGATATGTCTTTGTGATGAATTTGATAACGTCCAAGCATTTTTTCTCTCAGCTACCTGGTAGGAACTACTTTAATTTATTCTACCAGCATAATCAATGTACTTTTCATATTCTATTATGGGATTATTTACATTATTGATAAAAACTGGAGTAGAGTTCAGTTTTCTTAAAAAATTAAAAACAACTTTATTTGGAAATGTTTATAAACTTGTTCAGTCTAAGATTGTTTTAAAAAGGGGCCGGGCGCGGTGGCTCACGCCTGTAATCCTAGCTCTCTGGGAGGCCGAGGCGGGCGGACTGTTTAAGCTCAGGAGTTCGAAACCAGCCTGAGCAAGAGCGAGACCCCACCTCTACTAAAATTAGAAAGAAATTAAT